AGGGAGGGGGGTGGGTGATGTGCAAAACATAGGTATATATATGTTTTGAACTTTTAATTGTTTGACTAAGCAGGTTTCCTTAAATAATTACTGCTAGCCTTGCACATTGTTTCTACATGGAGCTCACTAATACAATCGTCTGAATTCAAAGTTATGGTTTCCTTACTTAAATAATTACTGCTTGCACATTGTTTCTACATGGAGCTCACTAATACAATCGTCTGAATTCAAATTTATGGTCCACTCCAAAAATGAAATTCATGGCCCAATAATTGTTATGGCGATTAATCCTCTGGACCAAATTGAATGAGAAATAGGATGCACTGAAGTTTTGTGCATGTTGGAATTACAATCGCATTTGGAGTCTGTTGTTGATACATTTCAGTTTGTCTGGCCTCAATGTTGATATGTTTCTGTTGTTAAACCAAGTAGAGATGTGTGTATCCTAGTCTGATTAAAACTGCAGCATGGTCTTTATTTTTTAATGTTATCCCCCACTGTTTATTATGCTTGAGTTGCTTAATCTCTAAGGTTTGATTCCTATGCTGAAAAAATGTAAAACCCACCCTCCCCTCGTGGTTTTTTTAATTGATTTGAATTTTTCAAAGTTGTAATGCAGTTGGATATTGTTTTTTCAGTATCTGCTCGTAACTGAATCCATTCTTTTTTTGGATAATGAAAAAAGGCCAGGAAAATTGAACCAAGTCTAATCCTTGTCAATTATGAATTAAGTTAAGGGGAAGGGGATACAAATCTAATGTTGGTAATGATTTGATTTTTTCTTTTCTGAACATGCTTTTGCATTTTACATTTGTAAGGTTTTTCTTTGAAGCCTTGCCCCTCTAGTTGCTGTTATCTCAATTGTTCCCCTCCTTAACAGCCCTGTCCTTTTAGAAGGCAAAGCATAGAATTATTTTGAATGTATTGGTTCATTTCCATAGAGAAGTCAATGAATATTTTTACCTGTAAATTCCACCCTTTGTTAAATAGCAATAATGGCCAAATATTTTGGTGTAATGTGTTTAATGATCCACTGGGAACTTGTTTTTATCAGTTTACCAAATTGTTCAATTAAATGATGATTGATCATTGATATAAGCATGCGGCATGCCAAAAAGAATTCAAAATCTCAGTTTTTTGGACAAGACTTTAGTAAAGTGCTATAGGTGTTTGCAATGTTATTCTCTGATGGAAGTACAGCACAGGTATTATTTTTTAAAGCTAACCTATGAAAATATTTAAAAGGAGGATGATCACATAGCTCAAAATTAATGCATGTTATGTTTTTATTGAGAAACAACACCAAAAGCACATAAAGAACTTTGTCTATGTTCTGTTTATTTGTTTTGTTTGGGTCCAAGGCTGTGGAGATGCAAATAAGGGGCCTCAATAGGAGAGGGGATGGGAAAGGGGTGTGGGGTGCACTGTGGGGATTAGTACTCACACTCTTCTTGTGTCTCATGACTGTACGAAGTGGGCTGTCTCAAGGGACAATTAACTTTTATTTGAAATAATTAGTTTTTTTCTTTAAAAGAACTTTTGAACATTTGATTCCTAAATGATTTTAAAAATAGGATTAGATTTTTTTTACACCAGGATTAAATATGTTTTTAGTTCCTAAACTTTTTGTCATTTTTTGTTTAGTCCCTGAACAAATTTTATTTGGCTTTAGTCCTTGAAATTTTACTCCATGAATAAAAAAAAATTGACTTCAGGGACCAAAAATGTTAATAGGAGGAAAAATTCAAGGACTAAAAGTAAAAATCAGCAAAAGTTAAGGGACTAAAATTAAAGAAATTTGTTCAAGGATTAAAAACAAAAATTGACAAAAGTTCAAGGACTAAAAACATATATAATCCTTAAAAATATATTGTTCTAGTTGATTTATTATATATGCATTATTCAGTCTTTGGATTTCATTTGATATTTTTCCTTCAACATCCAATTACTGTTATATTTTTGTGCACTACGAGGCCTTTGGGGCCTTGAATGATTTTGATTTTGGGAAAAAAAATGTTATTGTTATAGGCTCTTATAATTTAGACTTTGGGCCTAATTTGAACCTAAACATTGATTTGTAAGGTTAGGATTGTCTTAAGTTGTCTTAAGCTTTATAAGCTCTATTTAATCCATTATGTTTAGTTGATGTGGAACTAAGTACCACCCATGAGGTTGCAATTAAGGCAGCTCCAAAAGAGACTACAATCAAGGTGGGGTAGGGGTAACTGTGATTGAGGTGGCTTTCCAACACATCTGTTCAAGCCTAGGAGTATGGGCCTGGAAAATGCAGGTGGTCCAATCAATGAATCTAGGATAGGTTCTGGTACTGGCTTAAAATTTGGGCTTTCGGTCTAACTCAATATCACAAAATCCATTTGTATAGTGAGGATTGTCCCAGCTTAATAAGCTCTATAAAAGTCATATTTATAGTTGATATGAGATTTAACACCACCTTTGAGATTGCAATTAAGGCAGCCCCAAAGAGGCTGCAATTAAGGTGGGCTAGGGCCAGGGTGACCACAATTAGGATGACTTTTGAATTCAAGCAATGTTTTTAAAACTTGATTGATCATTGAAATAGTGAAGGCAATTCACAGTTTATTAGTGTAACTTTGGTTGAGTCTGGGTAAAATTGAAATATCAAAGTATACATATTTTAATATTATATAATATATATTAAGTTATAAACTAATATAAAATTATAATAAAATTAATTTTGGGAAAATTTGAAATTATCTTAAAAGGATTGTATCACACATCGTATAAGATGAAAAATTTATAATAAATAATTAAACAATAGCAATCTATATGTAGATAACAAGAAAAACTTGTTTTGAAAGAACCAGTTCAAACCATTTTGCTGCACAAGTTCTTATCCGATTTTATCTAACTTTTTGCTGGTTCTAGATCAGTTTGACTGGTTTTCTTCTCCATCTGTTGTCTGGGTTGTTGTGACTAGTTCCACTTGAACTTGCCATTCCCTTTTTTAATATTTATGTTATAAGTAGTCTTGTTGTTTAGTGAAATCACTGAAATGTTTATTGTGTGCGTCAATATTAATTTTGGGCAGGGGATTTAGGATTTGGATCCTTTGGAATTTTATGATTTACTTAATTTTGCAAAGCTTTTTCTGTAGGTTTTACAGAAGGCTCTGGAAGTGTGGGACCTACAAGTTATCCCTCTTGACTCTCCAGTTGCTGAGCCTGCTCAGATTGACCCTGAGCTGGAAAATGCATTCATTTGTCATTTGCAAGACCATTGGTTTTGTATTCGTAAAGTAAATGGGGAGTGGTATAATTTTGACAGTCTCTATGCAGCCCCACAGCATCTTTCCAAGTTTTACCTCTCTGCCTATCTTGACTCTTTGAAAGGCTTTGGGTGGAGCATATTCCTGGTTAGAGGAAATTTTCCAAAAGAATTCCCCATCTCCTCATCTGAAGCTTCTAATGGTTTTGGGCAGTGGCTTTCACCTGAAGATGCTGAGAGGATAACTAAATCTTGCAACTCAGTACAGGCTCCACACCAGAGAATTAATGAGGGCCAACAACATCATAATCAGTTTCTTTCAGATGGGGAAGCTGAAATGTTTCTAGACATGGAAGACGAGGATCTAAGGGCTGCAATAGCAGCTAGTCTGATGGATTCATCCCCAGTTGTGACCAATGCTGAAGCCAGTACTCCTCAAAATGATAATCAAAGTAGTAAACAAGTGGCAACAACTGAAACTACCCCTCTAAGTGAACAGCAGCACTCCAAACAAGTGGAAATCATTGAAGCTACTCTTCCTGTCAATGCTCAAAGCAACAAACCTGCAGCAGCTATTGAAAGTGCTGGTTCTCTTCTGAATGATCAAGACAGCAAAGAAGTGGCATCAACTATAGGTGCTAACGCTCAAGATGAAAACCAGAATAAAGAGAAAACTGTCTAAGAGTGTGCTCTTATTTGCCCCTTATTTGTTTTTGCAATTGAGGACAAATAATCTTTCAGTTTAGGTGGTCGAAACATACATCAGTGGCTTAAAGTCATGGTGCTGTGCAGTATACACATTCTCATTTCAATTGCATTATGTATAAACTGTAAGGAAAACCCTTCAGCATTTTCATCCGATTATATATGATAGTTACCAAGTTTTGTCAATGTTTTTTGAAAACCCTTCGGCATTTCCACGTGATTGTGATTGATCCCAAGTTTTGACCAAGCTGCATGCTGGTATTATTATAATAAAGTTGTTTACGGTAATTGTGGGAACTCTTGATCGATTGAACCCCTCCTCCAATTTGACCCTACAGTAGACTCTAGATTTCTAGGTCACTTAGATACAGTGTATAAGAACTGCCGACTGTTTTTTTTTTTTTTTGGTAGTAATCAACTATTTTGTTTTCTGAAGGTTTTAGGAAAAACATGAACAAAAAGATGAAAATGGATAATCGGCCAAGGCTATACGTCTATTTGGCATAGGCAAAAGACAGCAACCACGGCCAAAGTTTCCGAGGTTCTTGTGATTTTAAATCTGAAGTCGTTTAATTAATTTATTTAATTTTTCTTGATATCAACTTTATGTGAGTTTAAAAGCAATTTAGATTTGTGACTGGTTAGTACTGGTTAGTGGATCACTCATTAAACCGGTGAATAACTTGTAGAATAACGTAATTAATAAATAACAAATTAAAATTTTACTATAAAAATTATTTGAGTCACTTATTGAGAAGAGCAAGATCATCTCTCTATTTGGTTTGTTCAGTCATTGTTTAATTAATGGATCTATTTTATTTTTCTTGATATCAACTTTGTCGGGTTCAAAAGCAATTTAGATTTGTGATCGATTAGTATCCGTTAGTGAATCACTCATTAAATTAGTGGGTAATTTGTGGAATAATGTAATTAATAAATAAAAAATTAAAATTATACTATAAAAATTATTTGAGTCACTTATAGAGTGGAGTACAGATGAGACTCTTCGTCAATTTGTTGACTATGTCCATATGAATGATTTAAATTTGAGTTTTATCATGTTTATAAGAATGGTTTGTGGCAATTGAATTTATTGTCAACACTATGTACAAGAAAGGTCAAAGCTCTCATTAGTAGTAATTTTTTGGTTAAAGACGTGTGATATGATCATTTGGAATTCTTGTCCTGATGGGTCGTACATTACCAAGTTTGCTTACTAATGGTTACGCAAGCTTAATTTACCCATAATACTTTGTTTGATGCCAGATCCTAGGTGTGGTCTCTTTTTCCAAAAAATATTAAACACTTTCTATAACTTTCTAGTCATAACTCTCTTCCAACTAACACTTTTCGTCGTTATATGCATTTGTCTATTGATACTTCTTGTAATAGGTGTGGAGATCCTGAAGGATCAATTTTGCATACGTTGAGAGACTGTAACAAGGCTAAGATCATATAGAACACTCTCCAATTTTCATTCCATGCGGATGACCCTTAGATAATTGTTGCTACCTAGTTGTAAAGTCATTCTACTGGTTTGAGAGGGACCATTTTACTGCAACAACATGATACATTTGGAGGTCCAAGAACATTGAAGTTTTCCAGGATTTAGTTTGGCAACATTGGTTTATCATCCATAAGATTTAATGCTTGATTATTGACATTAAAAAAATGATTGTGGTTTTATCTTCTCAACATCAAGACTTCATGATTGGTTGGAATAGATGGTAGCTCCAAAGGAAACTTAATTTTTTTTTTCTTATCTAGTTTTGGAGGAGTTTTCAAAAATCATCTTGGGAATTGGATAGAGGGGTATGTGAGTTCAAGTGATTTCACTTCAAATACAAATGCTGAATTATTAACAATTTTTCATCATCTCTCTATAGCTTAACAACATAATTTTCTAAATATAATATGTAAATTAGATTCATAGATGATTATTTCTCTTATGAAGGAAAAAGTTTCTTTGGCTCACCCTTATCCTCCTTTAATTTATAAAATCAAAGCCTTCTCATATTTGTCATGAAACTTTTCTTTTAATCATGTTTACAACAAAGGAAATAGGATAACAAACTATCTTGCCAAGACTATAAATACCTTATTTAACATTTTAGTCGTGTAGTCTTCTTGTTGCATCATATATTGTTGTTTGGAGATATGATGAAGATTTTGTATTTAAGGGGTAGTTAATTTGTTTTTTCTTCTCTTTTATTGTTTATATTTTCCCACTGGTAAAAAAAAACACAATTGAACATGTTAATTTAGTAATTATCAAGCTTTCACCTATAAGTAGGCACATGGGTTCAAGTCCTATATCAAGCTCTGCACATTGGCAGCAGAGCATGGCTCAGCATTGAGCCCACATTAGGCAGCATATGGCATCAACATGGGTCATCAATATAGTTAGACATATTACATTGGGTAGCATCGCAAAACATACATGGGACACAATGTGGATTTCAAATGAGATTAAGGTCTAATTAATCTTGAGCGGGTTGTTGGTCCTTATTAGTATAAAATCGAATTGATGGTGTCACGATGGGCTAACATCATTCCCAATCTAAAAACATGACTAGAGTAGTCATGGGTTTATTTCCAAATTAGACAAGTTGAAACAATCAATTCGGTATGAGTTTCAAAAAACTGTTCAAGAGACTTCAAATTGTCTAAAAGAGATGATAATTGATGTTGTGCAGAGGGCTTTTTTGTTTTCTCTTGGTCGATCTATATTTTCCCTTGTTGCATGAGATGTGGAGAAAGAAAAATAGCAATAGTAGTCAACTTACTTTTATTGAAGAGAGTAATTTTATCAATACATACTTTAATTATGTGAAAAGAAATACTTTTCAAGTAAAATTTAATCATCAAACTAAAAATTATATTTAGAAAAATCGCCCTTTCTTGATAAATTTGTAATATTATTGGGTGAAATACCGTTCTATATCACAAATTCTTAGTTTATTTTATAAAAATATTGATAGCTTTTAATTTGGTGGTTACAATAGAAGTGTAGGATAAGAGAGTAAATAAATTCTTATCATATATACAATTTTTTTTAACACAATCATGCAAATTATACCCAAATATTAAAAATACCCATATAAAAGGTGAAATTGGTGGTAATAAAAGTAATGTAGGGAGGGTCATAGTGACAACAATGATGGTGGTCATATAACAAGACGGTGACAACATAAAGAGTTCATGATAGCAGGGACAATAGTAATAATGAAGTTGACAGTAGTGGTGATAATAAGAATTGTCATGGATGCATTAGATTGGGTAGTAATTGTTATGGTAGAAGTGATAATAGTAGCGACCAAAAGACATGTATATTGGTGATAATGATGGGGTATCAATAATATAGTGATGACAAGAATAATTATAATATAGACAATAATAATGATGATAATAGATATCATGGTGATTGGAAAAATACTAAGTAGTGGTACGAACAAGATCAATACTTTGTAGTAATAAAAGTTATAAGGACAATGATAATGAAAATGTGAGAGTAATAATGATAAAAACGAGTAGATATAGAATAATGTCAATGATGATTGAAATATAAACAATGAGGACATTTGATTTGCTAATAAATGATGACAAAACATCCCAAAAATACTTATGTTTGTTTTTAAAAATAGTTATAGGTCAACACAAAAACAAAAATGAAGTAATAGACAAAATTTATAATTTTCGTTCGCTCACAAAATTATGAGACAACGTTTTTTCTTGTAGTGCAACTTTATAAAAAGTAAATATCTCACTTAGTAACTTAGATAAATTATTTTTACATGGATTTGAATCCACCACAGTGGAGGATCTCTACATCTCTCTCCAACCTTCATATTTCTCTTTATTTTCTCTTCATTTTTCCATTATCTACTTCCCTCTTTCCATTCTCTTTGTGCTTCTCCTTTTGATTTCTTTGGTTGTAGAGGATAAAGGGTAACAAAAAATCTATTTTGATTTCTACATTTCTCTTCCTCCTTGTAATACATTTTTCGTTTTCTTCTGTATTTTGTTTCTTTGTTTATGAATTTAACTTTTCTTATTATCATTATCCTAACTAATGTTATTAATTTGAACATGTTTATCACGTGATTTTTTTTATTATCATATTTTAAGAAAAAAAAATTAGAGACATATATAAAGTGATAAATATAGAAAAAAATATTAAATAAAATAAATAATTAATCATTAAAGGATAGAAAATATTGCTACCATGCATCAATATACAATTATAAATTTATATTAAATAGATAATAAGTAGGGAGATATTTTGAAAAAAATATAATAGTTCATTTGTTATCATAACCTAATCACAAAAATTAATCTAACTCGATGTTAATCATATTGATTGGTTAATGTTTTAGAGGTAATTATATTATAAGAATAATAGATTTTGATACTAACCATACTAATATTTACGTTGAATAATCTTGAGTCACTTGAAAAGCTAACATGTTTATGTTGTGGTTACCTTAAACTTAGTTACATGCCAATGCAAGTTGTAAATCAATTTAGTCACACAAATATCAATTTAATTACAAGAGTTCACCTAGTCATGAGAAGTGTAACTATTTTAAGTGACCCAATACATCCTTAACAATCTTGTCATATGAATAACAATTTTCTCTTTCTTCAATATTTGTTACATCAACGTATTAATATTACTAAATGTCATAAGATTTAACTTCCCTTTTTTCTATCATTATGGGTTGGATCATACATTGACTTAGACATTGAAGTGCTTGTAGGTGGTCACCACCCTTTTCCATCAACAATAGTTTGTTGTGCCACTGATCTAGTGGTTCCTTCCTTAGCTATTTGAACAAATATGACTGACCATTTTTTTTAAACTCAAATCAAAACAATTAAACATAATTAATTTATATTAATTTATATTTAATTTTACCTTAAATCCTAACTAACTCAACTTATAAACATCTTTAGACTCGATCACATGAGAGATCAATATCATTATCAAGATATTTTGAATCTTGATATGTGTAAGGACATCCTAATCAAAGGAACTTAAAGTCTGTTTATTTTTGTTCACAAAATTTTTGCACATTATAAGAATGTAAAATAAAATTTCTTGTTAAATAGATTATCTTCACAACATATAAAAATTTATAATTGAATTTAAAGGACATTCCAATCAAAAGAACTTAAAATTTGTTTATTTTTGTCCACAAAATTTTTGCACATTATAAAAATCGAAAATGAAATTTCTTGTTATCTTCACAATGTGTAAAGAATTATAATTAAACTTGACTCAATTTGATTTACATCACAATCTAACTTTGAAAACATAAAAACTCAAATATTAAATCACAATTTGATTGAAATTACAAATCATTGATCAAAATAATATCGTTTATTTTAGGGAAGGATAAAAAAATTAACATATATGTTAAATATATTTACCAATTGATTTTAAACATAAAAAGAAAAGATTAAAAAATATTTAATAGTGCAATTTTTATTTTAAATTTTTTCGTTTAATAATTTATTTATTTGATTTTACGATTGAAAATAGTTTGGGTCATTTCTTCATCCACCACAAACAAAATCTCTTTTTTATAGAGGCATTGGTGAAGCGGGACTTTCTCTGATTTCAGCTACTGGTACGTTTTTTCTTTTATCAACATTTAGTTAACGAATCTAGCCATTGTTGAATTTGACTTCCGAAGTTTCTTCACTTTTCCTCTAACATTGGAATTTGTCTCTCTTTGATTTCGATTTCTCATTTTTTATGGCCACTCATTTTTTCCAAACACACACAAGCTAAGTATAATTATAAATTTGAATTCGATCTCGTATGTCAATTACGGGGTGAGATAAATGGCAGAAATGTGTGATGAATTATAGAAACGAAATAAGCAAGTATAATATGCTCAGTAGCTGTTTGATAAAATGCTCCAGTTGAATCTTTGTGTATAAGATGTGATTTTTGTATGATAGATAGTGCACTGTCAGAATTATTGTGTGCTTAATGCCTTAGTTAGTTCCATGAGCTATGGGTACAGGGTGAAGAGTGAAATTTTGACCCATGTGTTTGGTTAGTTCTTCTCTGTGGAAAAGATGGTAGACAGGATTAATGTAATTAACACTTTGATATAACATTTGTTTTATGTTGCAGGAACCGGGTAGTTTAACCTGTTGCGCTACTCTGTGAAATGGAAGATCCATCATTTTTCGACCGGATGATCAGTCATCTTCGAACGACTTGCAAGTATGCTTATTTGAGAATTTTGGCACAGCAACTTCCAATGTTACCTTGCTGCAAATGATTGATTTTTATTAGTTAAAATGTAAAAAAGTTAGTTATTTTGCTGAAGAATTGTTCAGTCGTATTTCTAAATCTTTGGAAGCTAATTTCAAATTTTGTATAATACTAATAAGGTTCAGTAGGGATTGACTAAGGTAGCAAAGTTTGCACAATTCAAATGATTGCTCTGTAACTCTGTTGTTAACTTGTTATGGCAGAGTGCCCCCTTGCATTACTCTTGGAGCAGTTTCATCACATATGATTCATTTCTTTTGTATTTTTGTGTGAAAATGTTAGGTACTATACTGGTTATCCGAAGGATCTTGGACCATCAAGGGTTATTCATTTTACCTCTGAGCGTGAGTTTGTCAAACTCCTTCACGAAGGTTTTCCTGTGGTTGTTGCATTTACTATCAGGTGATCTAGAGTCTGCTTCTGGATTCTCATTTGGGGGACTTTAGGTCTGAATGGAAAGGAAAAGAAGAAAAGTAAAACTATTTAAGATAACTACTTGCTATTTAATAATGCAGGGGGAACTATACACTACATCTTGACAAAGTATTAGAAGAATCCGCTGTTGAGTTTTATCCACATGTAAAGTTTATGCGTGTAAGTTATTTTCATTGATTCACCTATGATGAAGCATAGCACCTGACTCATTAGATAGAGTCACTAAAATAGAAACACATGTCCTTATTATTTTGTAATGAGTTGGTGTTTACTTTTGAGGAGTGAGTGCCCTAGGTTCACAATAAAATTCATCTACGTAACAGGGTCCTTATTTTCTGGTGCTTTGCAGGTTGAATGTCCAAAATATCCTGGGTTTTGTATAACTCGGCAGAAAAAGGAGTATCCATTCATTGAGATATTTTACAATCCAACCCAAGTATGGTTTTGCTTAACCTTACCTGTTCACTACAGTTTCATGAGCTCATCACTTCACTGCCTATACTGCTCATGGGAATGAATAATAATAATAATTTTTGTTTAGATTGCATGATTAAGGCGTAGTTTTAGTTCATATGTCAATCTTTTCAGTCACTACCAACCTGTGTTTATCTTGTTTTCAATTCGAGACTTTTGTTCTTTTATACAGGCAGCTAACCAGGGAAGGGTAGCTGATCCAAATATTACTAAATACAACGTGAAGGTCTTGCCTGTAAGTTATCTTGTTCTTATTAGCTTTGTGAGTTCTTTTTCAGGCAAATTGTAGCATCTATTACTGATTATGATTGATTACCTTCTATTTTTAACTGGTCTCAAACAAATACGTAAAATAAATCTATTCCAAGGTAGTAAATCTGTTAACATTGTATCAAAAGTTTATTGAACTTGCCTGATAGACAAATATCTTTGTTTCCATCTGTGAAATATTTTAATATTTTGTCCGATTTTCATTTTATTTGTGCACATGCAGTTCAACTACGATGTTAGTGCTTATGGATTTAGAGAATTCTTCAAGCGACATGATATATGGGCATCAGATCCAAAGTAGGTGGAAAAGTTCTGTTTTTTATACGTGCCATACCTCATCATGCTACATGCTTTAACAATCTGTAATTTCTATATCTTTACGAGTTCAGAATTTGAAGACAATTATATTTACCAGGAAGGTTGATGCCTAAACCTATAACTTCGGTTTTGTAATTCAGTTTCTCGTCATGGATGTCTTTCTTTCCTTGTGTTTTAGCATTTTCAATTCTTCCAAGTTGAAGTTCTCCAACTGCTAGAGTAGAATCTAGAAGTCTTTTATCATCAAACCATATCCTTTCTAATATAAATTACAATAACTATATTGAGCGTTACGTTAGATTTACCAAAATCACATTCAAATATTGGTAAATGTAATTTTCCGCTTTTACATCTTTAGTTCCTTGTCAATGAATTGATTACCAGTCAAAGCCGATTATGAGTTGAAGCAACTTTAGGGTAACTTTTGTATTGGATAAAAAATTTTGTACTGTTATTTACTATTAACTTGTTTTATATAAAAAAAATTACATTAATCACATCACTTCAAGAATTAATTTTAACTAAAAATAGTTTCATTCAAAATTAATTTTTTCAATGCTAATCCGAACATACTAATGAGAGTGTTTGTGATAGTTATTGTTTAACAAGGATGATTTTAGGAGGTTTTATAAGAGTTTTTAAGATTTTCCTTAAATTTTTTGTACCTTTTAATATATTTTTATATTTATATTTTAAATTAAATTTTAATATTATTTTTTAAAATTATTAATAGTTGAAATGATTTTGTATAATGATATAAATTATTTATTATAAATTTAAAGTAGAATTTATATGTTCAAAGTTTTAACGTAATTATTTTTTTAATGAATTTTTATTATAAAATAAAATTTTATTATATGAATTGTGTATATTAAAATAATTATTAATGTCTTGTCATTCATTTATTAAGAGTTGAAAATGATGCATTTTTATAGTGCGTTAAATTTATACTAATTGTATATTTTTTAATTTTTATTTTCAAAAAAAGTTAAAAAATGTAATTAAATTACACTAGTACACCCTATATTTTTTAAGATTGTGTTTGATATCCTTTCATAATTTAGACTTAGAGTAAAATTCCTTAAAAGTTGAATAGATGTTGCATCGATCCCTCTTGACCCCAAACGACATTTATTCTATTAACAAATGTGTGTCATCTGACATACACATGACTTTTAATAAATTTTTCTCTCCTTAAAATGCTCTCATTTTCTTCAAAGGTTTCACTCACCTATCTCTCTCATTCACCTCCCTCAACTTCCTCTCCTATTTATAAACTTAATATTCATGATATTTGATAACTTCTCAATCCTATTTCTCGGTATGACCTTGACTGCAAAAACCATTAACTTGTCCAGGCTTACTTTCAGTCCCGATAATTCACAAAACTCTCTTAACACCTTAGTAATAAGCTTCATATGAGAAGGTTTAGCTTTAGCAAATAAAAGAATGTCATCAACAAAAAAAAACAAGTGTGAAATCATTGACCTCCTTATGAGATTTGAATAGGTAGTCAACTCCTTCTAGTTACCTCTATCGCGATACAATCTATCCATAAATAGAATAAAAAGACAAGGAGAAAATAGACCACCTATCTTTCTTGGGTGAGAACGATTATGTTTTATTTCCATTTCACAACAAGGAAACATAGGTGAATGTTACTCCATGCATTTTCATTTACTTATGATTTTAATTTAATCTAAAATAATTTTAAGAAAAATAAAAATACTTATTTTAATATTACACACAAGTAAAAATTATTTTTGTCAATTATCATACTATTTGATATTTTTATTTATTTTTTGTGATTCAATTAGATTTACTATTTTAAAATAGTTCAATTTAATAATCTATTTTTCAAAATAAAATTAATTTTTTATCTAATTTTTTTTAATGTTGTTAATATTAATTTAGACATAATAATAACTTTAAACATTTTAAAAAACTAGAGGATTATATATAATCATTTAAGAATATTATGAGATCAAATTAAATTTTTAAAATAAAAAAGAAAGTAATTTGACCAAAATAAAATAAAGATTTTCCTTGATTTAAGTAAGAAAATCATGACAAAAGCCCTTAGATGTGCGTCATGCCAAAAGCCTTTATAGTTGAAAGTCATGTCGAAAGCCTTTTTTTCATAATATTCCAAAACATCTCTTAAGAACAAATAATAAAACATAGAGAATCATGCACGTCATTACTGATCACTAGTCACATTCTCGAATTAAATAACAATATTGAAATGCATTTTTAATTTATAATGCAACAAAAATCACCGAAAGCCCTAAATTTTATATTTGGGATTCATAAAATTGGGAAAACTATCATTCATAAAGAATTATAAAATCTACAACCAAGTTGCGATACCCCATGTGTACCATACACGAAAGACAAAACAAACCACAACCGAAATTTCCTTTTCTTGAGATTTTAAAGATGCTATTTGATTCATATTTTCATAGAATTAATTTTAATTAATGAACACAATTTTGGAATAGTACGCATAAATTTCATGGTTCTGTCGCTATTGCTACTGCTGAAAAAAAAAAAAGAAGATTAATTACAGATTTTATCTTAAACATATTATGACATGTAACATTAATTTTGAGTGCAAAATAAACATGCACGAAGTCATTTACTTTTTCTTTTTGGATAGAGAAGTCATTTACTTAATTGCTATCATTTGTTTTTGGTGATATCAACTTTCGGTTGGGGTGGGTGCAAATGTCCAAAGCAGATTAATTAGACGTTTGAAGATCGAAGCTTACCTAAATTTTTGTTTTCTTTTTCCGTTTTGTATTTCCCCTCCCCGCCGCTTGATTAGACAAAATCAGGAAAATGCAAAACATTGTTTAACTCTCAAGATATGTAACTTTGATTCCTATTATATGTACTAACGTAAAAATAAACAAAAAAAAGTTTGTACATCTAAGTATTTTATTTAAAAAGTAAAAATAAAATAAATAATAAAATTATTTGAAAATAAATATAATAAATAAATTAATAATAGTAATTGATTTTGTGTTACACCCTCTATCTCATATGTCATAATATATAAATAATATAAAATTAAATTATATCATATAATAAAATAATTCAAAATCATCACATGTAGAAAGAATTATATTGTTAACATAAATTAAACTTGACAAAAATAATAAAATTACAAAAGAATTAAAATACAACTATTCAGATAACATAAAACAACTCCTAAATTAGTCTTAACTATGTTTCAATGTCGCATGTCCCATTAGAGCACAATTATTATTAAGGATTAGGTCTCATCATCAATATCCTTAACTCTATGTTGATGATCACCTACAATAAACACAAGAACAACAACATAAAGTAACGGGAGTGAGAAACATCTCACTCTGTCTCATGATACAAGAATGCAAATTGGCTAGTCAAACACAAATAACACATACAATAAGATATAACATGAACAAATAAACATTATAATCATAACCATTCAATTATAACATTTTAAATCATAAAAGATACATTATAATGCATTATGCAATGGATATAGACTATATATTATCATGCATGTGATGCCAATAAAAACATTACAATTGTGCATTATCGCTAGTAATACACTAGAGTAATCTAGGAGTACATGTTAGGTCATACCTTTTGCGCACTATCATTAGAAGGACATTCTACCAGGATCTGATTGAGATAGCTAAGTTGCGCAAGATACATACCATGCTCACGAGTGTAGGATTAAGACTTCCAAATCAAGTTATCATTAAGGTTGTTCCCAAGATTTTAGACAAGAGACCTTCCTTGATGATGTATTTCATATCATACCCTCACAAAACATTTTTATGCATATGATACATGTCAAAAAAATTATATCCATTACATTCACATGGTTCCATAATTTCACATTTTACACATTCATCCTGTCTAATTTCTCATCACATACTCATATATTTTTCAACAAAGATTGATTCATATCCACATCAACATTATATTACATGAGTTACAACATAGGGTTAAACAAAAGAATAATAGAATAATCATAAGCAAAACAACATCCAATGACACACGTCTCGCGCTAGCGTGATACCTCTAGAGGACTACATTGGTCTCTATTTGGACCGTACTTGGCATGACCAAGTCCATGCTTGGGGAGAACACCATTGAAATCTCTTTGGAGTAGTCATGCCTAGCGTGAGTCAGCTCACACTTGACTGAAGTGTCATAGGAAGCCCTTGGAGCTTCTGCACCTGATGAGGGTCATCCCACGCTTGACATGAGAAACCCTAAGAGCAAACTTTGCTCTATGTCTGGATGACACTCGACACGCTCTAAGTAGCACCCAATGACATATCATAAATCACACGTAGCAGAAAATGCAGAATTACAAGTCATGACTCAATTCACCAAAACATACAATTCAATCGGTAAAAGTTTTCTATAACATGCAATTGACATTCTATATCCCATAATTTACACATACAACCATTATCCTTATACTGTCATCACAACAAGTTCCCTTAGGATTTTTCGTGGGAACCCACGTGGACCTTAGATCATAAAATTACCATCCAAAATATAAAACTAATCATACATTCAAATAATTTATGCCATCAATCACATATAAGAAGAACAAGAAGTAAAATAGATACAATTGGAAAAAACCTCTCATACATGAATACACAACACAAGATTGAGGACCAATTAATCTCACTAACCGACATACAAACTACACCCAAAATGAGATTTCTCACTCCCCTTACTTGAATAAGTACTAGACAATGGATACATGACTCTGGAGTGATTTCCTTTTTGCTTATGTTCTATGAGCTTTTAAACATGAACATCATATTGTTTTCATTTTTTTTTTTAAATTTATAGACTTGGTCTATATATTAAAATTTTTTAATTTAATGATTATATTGTTGAAATTCAACATACATCATGAGTTATTGAATGAAATAACTTTTTTAAGAATTATTCTTGAAATTCATTAATTTAAAAATTAAGTATTATCTTTAAGATAAATAAAAATGTAAAATATGTCACATCATCATGTCAACGTTACATTTAAGCCTAACTTAAAAAAAAAGAGTTATGTAACTTGTATTTATTTTAATTTAATCATATAATTTATGTGAGAAAAAATAAGTTTTTATTTACCTACTAATAAAATTTTGTTAAAGATAAACTGTCATACAATATTTTTGGAAGCTTTTGTTTTGAAATTTAATTTTAAAGTAAAAATAACATTAAACTAGTTATGATTAAAAGTTAGAGGTCATATAATTAATTTAAAAATATGTATATTTATCTTTTAGCTTTAACTATTTAAATAACAATTGATGACTTATATATATATATATATATATATATATATATATATTCTTTTTGACAATAATAAAATATAATTATAAGCAATTATCGCATAAATATTTATTTATAAGTACAATTAAAAAAAAAATTTAAAATATACGTAGTATTAAATAATAATAAATTTTGTGTTGAATGTATTAACATTCAAGCACTATTCTAAACTTTTACTATTTTAATCTTTTTAAGTAAAGTGATTGGGCAATTTTTGTGTTTTATATCATAAAAAGTTAAATTTTATTTTTGTCATCCTATAATATTAAATTCATAATTTTGGTTTTTTAATTTTTAATTATATAATTTTAGTTTTTTAATTTTATAAAATTTTCAATTTTTTAGTTCTCTTTGTTTTTTTACCATGATATATAATATTGATATGAAGTAATTATTATAGAAGAGATAAGTAATATATGTTTGAGAAGATTTTTTTTGGGTAAAGATAAGAAAGATTATAAAGATGATCACAATGATGATTGAACCTATGCTCCTATGTTTCTAACTAGTCCAACCATATCTCACCCAACGACTAGGATAAAAGATGAGTATTATCCTCCTAATATAATTTATTTCATATATAAGATCACGATTCAAACTTTTGAGATTTTATAAGATCTATTCATTTATTCAATATTTTTATATCTTATTTTGATATAAAACTCAATATGTATTCTTATAAATAAATAATTTTTTTATTCGTATATAATTTAACTAGAGAATATTGTTTTGTCATATTATAAGATTCTAATATTTTTTTTTTTGGATTAACAAAAATAAAAAATTCAATAAAATCAAAACTATAATAAACAAATATTTAATTTTTTATTATCAAATTCAAATATAATATAGGGCACAATTTCTAAACTCAATGATAATACATGTTATTATTGCTTATGTTAATTAATGTTAATATAATTTATTTTTTAGTTCTCTCATTACATATTTATTTGTTAATTATAATGTTTTTTTATGAATTAATATTAAATAAATGACATAATAATTAATATTTAATAAATTTAAATTAAATTATAATTTAACCAAAATATTATTATGTCATATAATCAATGTCTGATAATAATAACATTATAATTTTTACAATTTTAACATGTGAATATTTAACGAATAGACTAAGGGGGTGTATTGGTTTAGGATTTCGTAGGATTTTAAAAGACTTTTTTTGAGTAAAAAAGTCCATTGGTATTCAATCAGGATTTTATGTCACTTAAAAACAATCCAGTGATATTCAATCTGGATTTTCAAGATTTTTTAAAGAGTCCATTAAAATCCACTGGTATTCATTTGAGATTTTTTACAACTTAAAAACAATCCATTGGTATTCAAAAATATAA